CCTGAGAGAGGAGTATCACTGAAGACAGCTGTGTGCTCCCCTACTCATGTCTATGCTGCTGCAGGAGAGATGAGCTGATTGGCCAGGTGGAGCAGGTCCATGACCCTGGGATGGGATAAGGTGAGGCCACTTATGGTGGGAGGGATCTGTCATGGAAAACAGGCAGAAACTGAGTTGTAGTCTGTGCCGGGAACTGGAGGGTCATAGCCACAGGAAACGTGCCAACTTTCCTCAGCACTTGGGTGGTTATGTACATCCCAGGCACTTTTAGACAAGCTCTTCCCACATACTATTTTAAAATGCTACTAATAATCTCATAACCAGTATTCATCAACTCTCCCGGTGACAACACCGGCACCTATGACATGACTGAGCGCAGTCAGCTTACAGCTGCAGGGCATTCCGTCCACACTCAGCTGGCTCCAAGGCTCCCAGGAGCATCACGGTGGAAGGCACAGTGGGGCAAAACTGCTCTGTTTATGACAGCTGGGAAGCAGAGCAGGAGAACAGAGAGGAAAGCCAGGAGCCAGATATAATACCCAAGGCCACTCCTCTGTTCCCCACCCTGGCACACCCAGAAGCGTGTCCACTCTTCTGAGTGACCCCAAGTCAATCAGGTTGACACAGTCTGGCTTCCTCCTCATACCAGCTGTGTTCCCTCTCGCCTTCCAAATCCTCCTCAGCCCCAGAGGAGCGGGGAAAGGCCCAGAGCGGTGTGTGCCTACTCAGACCTGCTAAGCGGTTATGACGGAGCTAGGAACTGAACCCGGGATCCCAATACCAGATGCAGGTGGTGACCAGAGCAGCTCCCAGGCCCCCAACCACAGTGAGCATGAGGTTCCCTGCTCTCTGGGCTCAGCTAAGGGCTTCAGTTTGCCGGAACATCACCTCTTTCGTATTAGTTAGGCCTAAAGTTTTCCCAGTTCGAAGAGTGACTGTTGCCTTAGAGACACTTTCTGGTAGTTACTGAATGTTACAAATGTGTTTCCTTTGAGCACTGACATGCTCCCTGGCCCATCCCCAGGAGGTGTCCAGGTTAGCTGACCATGGATGTGGCAACTAACCATTTGGAGTTTTTTTTCTTCTGCATGGTGTTAGGGATGGAGTCCAAGGCCTTTGCATTGAGCTTCACAGCCAGCCAAGTCTTATTTTTTATTTTGAGACAGTCTCACTAAATTGCTAAGTCATTCAGGCAAGATTTGAAGCTTGATTCTCCTGCCTCAGCCTCCCAACCTGCCAGGTTTTAGAGGGTTTATTTTACGTCCATCACAACCCTTATTTCATAAAGTGAATCCTTCCCTGGCTCAGTTCTTCTTAGTCCTGGTCATGAGGTTTAAGACTCTCTGAAAAAAATAGTAGATCTTGAAATGTTTGTATCCATGTCAGGAAAGTACACACAAAGGGTATTTCATTCAACTTTTTTGTTGCTATCACAAAATGCCTAAGGCTGAGTGTTTTATAAAGAAAAAATGTTTACTCAGCTTAGAGTTTTAGGAGCTGAAAGTACAAGAGAGGGTGGACACATCATGGTGGCTTCTGGTGAGGAGCCCCAGCTGCATTACAAAATGGCAGAGAGCATCATGGCAGGGATGTGCACAGGAGGAAGAGATCACATGAGAGAGGACGCATCACATGACCAGTCTCCAGGGAGACTGGGAGGCCAGGCTCACTCTTGTAACAGCTCATTCTTGAGGGAACTAATTCACTGTCTGAGACTGGCATTAATTCTCCCACAGTGACCCAACTGCTTCCCACTACATTCCAGCCCTTAGAGGGTCCACTGCCTCAGTTTTCACACTTGGACCAGGGTTTCAGAAGATGATCCTCTGGGGGACACACACACACCAAAGGAGCCCAGGTCAGCAGCCCCGGTCTCTTTTCCTGCTCACCCCTCCTCCCTAAATGTCTGTATTTCCTCTCCCCAAGCCCTCAGAAAGTTCCCATCTTTCATTCACTCAGTGGCAGCTCTATTATCTCTAAAATGCACTATGTACTTTTATGATTTTGCTTTCCTGCTGAGACTGAACATTAATAAGACTGTAAACACCATTTTTAAATCCTGTTGCAGGCTTTCACTTTTTATATTCAATCTAGCATGCATGTCTCTCCGTGAATAAACAGATCACACACCAAGTGGGGCGAGGAAATGAATTTCCTTTGTTGTTACGCTGGTTTTTGCTGGAGGCATTAAGATGTGTAAGAGAATACATTTCTACCTCCCTACTTCCCTAACAGGAGCAAGAAATCAAACCACCCACTTCTCCACACGGATGTTAGAGCAGTGTCACCCGAGTGAGATGTCACCTGTGACTTGTCTGTGGTTGGCGTTCTGACCCGTAAGCCCTGAAATAAATAAGTGGGGTTTCTGTTCATACTTCAAGCTTCAGGAGGAGGAGACACCTTGGCAGAAAGGAGAAGGGCAGAGAGGGGTGAGATTTGGGGAGGCCGTGTCACTGCAGGTCACCACAGTGAGAGAAAGAGAACACAGAGTCCTGTGGAGAGTAAGGGGGCTGGAGTTGCAAGACCCAGTCAGATGAGGATTCGGATTCAGGCCAGGGGGCATCGTGGATGTGAGGACCTGGCTTGGCTATGATTTTGCCAGGGTGCGGCCTAGGGCACCACGTGGGGTCAGAATCCTGCCTGTGTGGGAGAGAGGGAGGTGTGGGGAGGGCTGTCGGTCCCTTGGGAAGGCAATACTGACAGGTGGTTGTGCCCTGGCTCTGTGCCGAGGGAGGCAACACAGCCGGGGTGGGGGGTGTGGAGAGATGAGAAGAGGGTGGTGACTGATGGAAGAGGAGCCTGTCCAGGCTGTGTGGAAGTGTAAGTGTGCATGTGTGTTGGTGCATGAGTGTCTTAGAATATTTTCTGTTGCTATAATAAAGTTTCTTAAGATTGGGTACTTTATAAAGCAGAGAGGTTTATTCAGCTAGTACTTCTGATAGCTGAAATGCCCAGATAGCCTAGAAAGGCTGGCCAAAGTTCCTAAGCTATATCACAAGGTGACAGCCAAGCAGAAAGGGACAAAATCCAGAGAAGGGGCCAGGAGCATGCAGTGGCTCACTTTATAACAACCTGCTCTCAAGAACTAACTCTATCCCATTATGCCTGACCCTTGCCCTAATTCCCATGCTCTGGACCCACCTGTAAAGGTCTCCTGGGACTCAGCGCTGCCATAGAGGAGACCTGGCAGCTCGAGGGGATGTCCTCAAACAAGGCTGAAACCCTGGAAGTGGGCCTGGAGGGTTGAACAGGGCAGGAGCCTGTGAAACAGGAGGAGGGGACCGGGGACCACAGCTGCAGTGGTGACCATTACTGTCTTGCTCTCTGTCTCTGGGCATGATGATACCACTCTGGCCACTTGGGCAGGCGTAGTGAGGGTGACAATAATGACCTTGAGCCTCCTCCCTCTGGGACCAGAAGAGCTGAGATCTGATCACAAGTGGGGCAAATGGTCCTCTCCTTGAGGCCATGTGGAATGTCACCAGCTGTCCACAGCCCTTGGGACATGGTTCTGACCCCGGAGGCGAGCAATGCTAAGGCAGATCCCACATGCATTTCCGCATGTCCCCTTGGGGATTTATGGTTCCTGAAGTGCCACATGGCTGGCCTGATGCCCACCTTTCTCTTTTCTAACTCCGACAGTTTCTGTTTTCCTGTCGAGATTTCATGCTCTCGGGTGAGTTCTGGATTCCTGCACTTCTATTTCCTGCAGCAGAGGCTCAAGAGGTGAGTGGACACCCAAATTGCTGGTCCGGGAAGGACCCCCCTGGTGGGAACAGCCGTTGCAGGTCCCTGTTGTCTTGCTTTTCCTGCTCAGAAGTCTGTCACCCTCCAACTCTCAGAAAGGCCGCTAAGGAGGCACATGCATGCCCCCCTCAGCTGGGAAGGAGGCGAGGCTCTGTCCTCATGGAGCAGATCGAGGCCAGAGCTGCATTAGGGTGTGTGGGAAACTAAATCAGCTCAGGGTAGTGCGAGGAGGGTAGAGCTCATAGTGTGCGAGGGGGTCTGAAGGACATGAGAGAGCAGAGTTACTGATCCCACACATTAAAAGAAGGTGGCTGTGTGGATGGACAGGGCTGGGCCTGGGCCAAGTAGAGACCGGTGAGCAGGGTTGGGAGGAAGTGAGCCTCCAGGAGCAGGCAAAATTGAGTGGTCAGAGGGTCAAAGTCAAACCACACAAGCTGAATCTGTGGTGTCCTTGCAGGGTGAGAGGTACGCAGGACCGAGTGGCACGGGGTCCTGGTGGACGTGGACCAGGATGATGGGTGAGAAGCCGTGGCCACCAGGGAATTAGGACTCAGAATTTTAAAGTGGACTTCAGAGGACTTCCATTCTGTAAGATGCTGGTTTAGCAGTGTGAGAGGAATGAAGGTGGTAAGGACAGGTTCACAGGGGAGCCAGAGGGCTACAAGGCCATGGTAAGGAAGCACAGGCCAGGCCAGGAGAAGCTCCTGGTAAGCATGAAATCCATTCGGGCAGCTAAGGTGGAGGGAAGAGGCCTTGGGAGATCAGGTCCCCAGGCAGGATAAGGCTGGGGTATGGAAGGGCCCACTGTGTGGACAGCAGTGCGGTTAGGAGCGCTCCTTGGCCTCAGGGTCCAAACATTAAGAAACGTAAAGCAGAATCTTAGAGATTCTCCGAGAAAGGGAATCAAGCTAGGAAAAGCCTGGATGCCAAAAGGGATTGGTCTAAGGAAGAAGCAGCTGAACTGGGTGAGGGTCTTGGCTACTCTATTCACCTCAGTCTGGTTACCCCATAACTAGGATTTTAAAGTCTGTGGAGAGGAACCTACTTCAGAAGCCCGCCTCAGCCCACAGGGGTCTTGCTGAGGGAAGGACTCTGGGAAGGCCTAGCCAACATGGCCAGGCCAAGCCTGAGGGAAAATGGCTCCCGTGTCAGGAATCTTCCGGCCTTTCAGAACAGACGGTAGATGATATGCATACCTGGGGTCTCCTGTAGCAAAGCACCACAAATGAGCAGCTCAGACAACAGAAATTTATTCTCTCACAACTTTAGAATCCAGAAGTCCCCAGTTAAGGTGCTGGCGAGGTTGATTTCTCCTAAGGAAGAGATATGTTCCAGGCCTCTCTCGTTTGGACTTATGGACAGTATCTTCGTGTCATATGGTGAGTTCCTGTATCCAGACTCCCTCTCAGTAAGAACACCAGTCATCCTGGGTCAGACCCCATCTTCACGACCTCAGTTTAACTGGATTATTTTTCCAAAGACCCCATCTCCATATTGGGCCCCACGAAGAGGTGCTTGGGATTAAGGTGACACTGTAGGAACTGGAGGGAGGAGGGTCGCCGCTGACCCTTAGCACTCCCCTTGGAAGCAGGAGTCCATCCTTCTGTCCTTGTAAGGCTGAGTTTTCACAGCCCCCTGGCTTTGGTTTAGTCAGGGTTCTAAGCAGGAACGGCCTCAGCAGAATGAATACGTAATTCCAACAGCGGACTTTAGATTGGCTCACCTGGTCCCACAGCCATGACATGGCTGCAGAGCCAGCTCAGTCCAAGACACTGGAAGTCTCAGGACCAGAGGCACCAAGGATGCAGCCTGGAAGGGCCCTGGAGGGCAGCAGATTTGAGTGTGTGTCAAAGATTGAGGAATCTGGAGTCTGATGGCCGTGAAACAGCAAAAATCTCCCCTGCCCATGATAAGTCGAGGGTGTGTGTGCAAATTTCCCCCTCTACTTCCTCATTCCACCAGGTCCAGCTATTGGATAGAGCTGCCCACGTACAGGGACTGTCTTCCGCGCTCGGGTCCCTCATTCACACACCAGTTTTCTCCGGAAACGCCCTTGTAGGCACCCTCAGAGTGAGCTTGCCTTAACCTCTTTCTCATCACTGGGACCAGAAACCAATGCTCAGAACTTGAAGGAGGGGGGCTTTGCTTTGGCTCACTGATTTTAGAGGCTTCAGCGCATAGCTGGCTGGCAGGTTCAAAGGCAGGAAAGGCACAGTAGAAGGGTCAGGCAGAGGAAACCTGCTCACATCACGGCAGCCAGGAAGCCGAGAGCCAAGGGAGAGGAGCCTGGGTGGGAGATGCACCCTTCCAGGCCCCACCCTCAGTGAGCAAGCCCCACCTCCCAACCATATATCCCACATTATCCCACATCTCTTCTGTGGCTTAATCTGCTGACGAGTGTTTAGGATCACACGGTCCAATCACCTTCCAAAATCCCAAAGCAAACACGAGATTTTGGGGGGGACTTCATAGATCTGAACCATAAGAACCTTTTACCAATCCTCAGTCCAGTCAAAGCGACAACTAAAATGAACAATTACTGATTGCAGCTTCTTTGCTTGAAAGTCTAGGCTGCTAAGCTGCACAGTATTTACTGACCGGCAGGATAACAGAGGTTCCGGGGACTCCCAGCTAAGTATAGTCTAATTCAAGATCCCAAGATTTAATCCTTTGTGTTCTTCTGAGGTGTCATGGTTGATACACTGTGTCAACTTGAGAAATTTAGAAATTGAACTAAGAGACTCAGCAAGGAGCCAGGATCCTTACTTTGTAAACATTTTGAGCCAGTGCAAGAGGAGGGCACACTCGCCCTGGGTCAGGGGTGGGAGGGGTAGGTGGGGTGTGGATGGGAGTGGCCTGCCTCCATATAAGGGAGGAGAAGAGGTTTATTTCTCCACTTTTTGCTTTGTTGTTTTGCTGCCTTCTGCTGCCTTGAAGTGTTGCCCCAGTGCCATGCCGCTCTGCCTTGGAGCCAGCTGATTATGGACTGAAACCTCCACAAACTGTGAGTAAAGAAACCTTTCCTCCTTCATTTTGGGTGTCAGGTATTTTGTCTCAGCAATGAGAGAAAAGCAACCAAGACAAGAGGGTTTGACTTTTAGCTCTTACATTTGATCTAAGATACATCTCCAGTGAATTTCTGTCTATGGTGTGAGGTAAAGGTCTCACTTCACTATTTGCTTATGGGCATCCAGCACATTTGCTGAGGAGACTATTCTTTTATCATGACATGGTTTTGGCATTCTTTCAATTGCCTATAAACATGAAGTTTATTTAGTTCTATTCCTTTGATCTTTTGCCCCCTCTTAAGCCAATACTACACTGTTTTGATTATTGTATTGTTATAGTAGGGTTTTTTGGTTTTGTTTTGTTCTTTTTCTGAGACAGGGTCTCACTATGCAGTTCAGGTTGGCCTTGAACTCACTGTGTAGCCCAGGTTGGCCTGGAACTTGCATCAATCCTCCTGCCTCTGCTTCTTAAGAGCTGGGATTACAGGCATGTGCCACCCCATCCTGTTTATCATAAGTTTTGAAATAAAAGAACATGGCTCATGTAAATTTGTTCTTTTTTCATGTTTTTTGGCTATTCTGAGTCCCTTGCCAGTCCAGGTAAATTTTAGGAGTAACATTTATTGCTAAAAAAGAACAAAACAAAATGAATGGAATTTTTATGCGCATATTGGGATGAAGTCTTAAAAATATTAAATCTTCAGATTATTTCATTAACGTTAGTTATGTTTTTATTATTTGCAAATTTATCTCAACAATGTTTAAAAGTTATTTAAATTGTTGTTTTTCAACTGATCAGAATATTTGCTCCTAAAATATTTTGTTTCTGTAAAGTCAGCGATAATGTCCCCTCTTTCATTCTTGGTACTAATAATATGAATTTTCTCTCATTTCCCTCTGTTCAGTCTAGCCAAAAGTTTGCAAATTATCTTGATTTGCTCTATAGTTTCTCTATTTTTAATTTAATATGCTTCTACTCCAATCTTTATGGATCTTGTTTTCTGGTTTCTTAAGGTAGAAAGTTAAAGTATTAATTTAAGCTATATTCTTTCTGTTTTAATATAGACATTTACACTTGTTAATTTTACCCCATGCGTTAGCTGCAGCCTATACGTTTTGGTATGTTCTGTTTCTGTTTTAAGTCATCTCACAGAATTTGTTTATTTCCTTTGTGATTTTCTTGACCTATTGGTTATTTAGGGATATTTAGTTTAATTTCCACATATTTATGCATTTTCTAATGTCATTCTGTTGTTGATTTCTAGTTTAATTCCACTGTAGAAATGATTTAAAATGTATTAAATATAGTCTGAAGGCCCCACTTATGGTCTACATTGGAGAGTGTTCTGTGTATGATGGGGAACAGTTCTGCTGTTGTTGGATGGAATATTCTACAGGTATCTGCTAGTTTTACCTGGATAATGGTGCTGTTCATATTTTATAGTTCCTTGTTGGTCTTCTATTTGTTTGATCCATTATGGGAAATAGGCTCTGTGAATCTTTAATATTTTTGAGCTATCTCTTTCTTCCTTCAGTTCTCTTGTATGGGTTTCACACAAGAGTATATGGACACTCTACTGTTATGTAGATACATATTAATGATTTTGGTGTTTTCTTTGTGAATTGACTCTTTTTAATTATGAATTTTTTCTTTATCTTTAGTAATTATTTTAAAAATCATATTTTTCCTGATATAATTATAGCAACTTCTACCATCTTATGACTGTTGTTTGCATGGTATATCTTTTCCTATCTGTATTACAGTATATATCATACCTATCTTTTGCTGAGGTTAAAAGAAGAATAGAGAGTCATTATGGATTTATTTTACTACATCATATTCTTATTTATTATGTTTGAGTCTTTCATTTCCTTCAGTGGATTTGACACCTAACTTAATCATCTTGTATCATTTCCTTATTCCAATAGTTTTGTTTCTGCCCACTTACTTTACACTTTTATCATCAACTACAGAATGTCACACTTCTACAGGTTGTAAGTCTAATATCATATATGTATATCATTTTGCACAATTGCTCTTAAATCAGTTAAGAGAAGAAACATACAATCATTTTATCTTTTATAATCCTCTATGTTACTACTACATAGTATATAAATCGTTCTTTATTTGTGTGTGTATTAGAATTATTAATAGGTATTATTTAATTCCAGCTTGAGAGTTGTTCATTAGTATTTCTTATAAGGTAAATCTTCTAGGAAGGACTTTCTGGTTTTTTGTTTATCCTGGAATACTTTTATTTTCCCTTCATTTCTGAAAGGGAGTCTGACTAGATATAATGTTCTTGATCAATAGTCATTTTTCCTTTTGCGCAGTACCTTCTGGCCTCTGTGGCTGGTGATGAGAAATCAGCTGTCCATCCTAATGGATGAGCCCATGAATGTGACAAATCATTTTTCTTTCACTTCTTTCAATTCTGTCTTTGAACTTCTGAGTGTTGGCTTTGTGTCTGGGGGCATGTTTCTTTGTGTTTAGTATATTTTGGATTTATGAAGATTCATGCACATGTAGATTAATGATTTTATAATTCTGGACAACTTCAAGCATTGTGTCTTCCAATATATTTTGTCTCACTTCCATGCAGAGATTCCCTTTACACAAGTGTTGATACACCTCATTGTGTCCTACCTTCTCTGAGGCCACTGCTTGTCTCTGCATTCTTTCTCCCTGTCTATCTGCTTATTGTATAATTTCTATTGGTCTATTTCATACTCATCAATTTTTTCTTCAGTCAACTGGAAATAGTGTTGGACCCTTCCCATAGGTCTCTTATTTTGGTTATCAAACTTTCCCAGCTTCAGAATTTCTTTTTTAAAAATTACCCCTCTTCCTTCCTGATGAGCTCTTGATAAAAGAAATCCAATTTGCTCCAGGAGTTGTTACTTATAGCTCAACAGATCTGTCCCTGTTTGTCCGTGACAGTTTTCCCTCTTAGCAACTAAGGCCACATAGTTCAGATCTGCCTGGATGGGATGCACGAATTCTCCCAGTGAGGATATTCTCATGGCCACCTTCTCGGCTTCCTGTCATATGTTATATCTGTTGGGGACACGGTGATATACAAAGATACTCGAAAGATACTCGATATACAAAGATACCCGAAAGCAATGGCTTTCGAGTGTACACTGTATCCTAGGAGATAATGCACTATCATCACAAAGGGCCAAGCTCTGTCTTCAACAAACTATTGCATGTCTCTCTCAGGTGCAGTTTCTGGATGGGGTGGAAAGTGATACAGTTTCCATTTTAAAAATAAGTTAGTTCCTTATTGCTATACTCTTTTTAGTGAGCCACTATTGTCACAGTCTCCTTTAATAATTTAGACAGGATTTCCTGTATTTCTCTGAACATATTTATACTCACTGATGTAAAATCTTGGTCTAGATAGTTTTATTGACCACTTTTATTCCTCACAGATTTATTGACTGATTTTTCTTTATAGTTTTTATTGACTATTTTTATTCCTGATCATGGGTCATATTGTCCTCCTTGGAAATTCTTAAACCTCTTATATGCCTCATAATGATTTTGTTGAAAACTTGTTATGTTTGATAGTGGACTATAGTGACTTGAGACAGTGATGCTGTGCCCCCTTTATATGAGCTGACACTGTCTTACTGTTGGCTTGGACACTGGCATATTTGTTTAGTCAGTTGTCTCAACCAATTCTGTGAAGTCTACTTCCTTACTATGTTCCACCTCTAACATCCTTTCATCAGTTTTTTTCCCTTGTTTTTATCTTTTTTCCTTGTCTTATCTTTTAGCCTAGCTTTCTAGGGGGTGCTCAGGATCACCACACACAAAAATTCTTGTTTGATTGAAGATTGTGCTTACATCCTCTTCTGTTAAATCTGCTACCCTGGACTCTTGAGTGTGACTTCACGATTGTTGTCATAACCCACAAAGTTTGTTTTGCCCAATGTTTAGTAGCTTGGATGCTCATGTTTTTGGTCCCAGCTTAGGGGTACAGCTGCAGGCTTGTACAAATCTCCCAGATGGCCAGGGATGAATGGAACTGAAGTTTTAATTCTGGCTCTATAAAAGTTTCCCATAGATAGAAGAATGTATCATTCCAACTAGTCTTTGTCAGAGGTTCTGATTAAGTTCATAGTGGGGCTTCCGCTCTGTGGGTGATAGATTTGTGTGCAGCGTTGAGTGTTTTTAAGTCTCTTGAGTGGGTGGATCTTAGTCTATGCCATGGCTTTCCTGACCTCAGGCTCCATTGTGACCTCAGGAGAGCCACTCTCCATGGCCTCTTCATAGGTTCCCATTGTTCAACTTCTGGTTGCTCTGCTGAGTTCCTCGTTGCAGTTTACACTACAAATCCAGGTGAGCTCTCTTAGGTCTTCTAGGTGCTGCTTCATCTAGACCTCTGCTGCTTTTGGCAATGCTTTCCCTTGGGCATGGAATTCTCCTTACTTTGTTCTAAACAAAGTGAGTGTCCTTAGGCACAGTTCAGGGCTCTTTGTCATATGGTCCTCCTGAGCAGAACCTCGGCACCACCGTCCAGAGCTGGGTGGGGTAGGGAATGTCTGTCCAGCTGCCCGTCTTTCCTGGACTGACCCTGCCCTGCCGGTGTCACTGGGACACAGGTGGTAGTTCCTGGTCTTCATGACCTGCTCCATCAAGTGTCCAGCTTCTTCTGGGCTAGGGAGGAGAGGATTAGGGGTCAGTCCTCATGTGCTGCTGTGCTTGGAACAGAACTTCTCTTCTATCAGTAAGAGAGGACAGGGACAGGAGATTCAGGCTCTTGGCTGCATCCACCAGGATGGAGCTGTTACAGCATGGAACTGGTACTAAACCTGCAGGTTCCTTTTCTACTCCATACTGTTCACCAGAGTGTCATCTCCTTTCTCCTCTAATTTGGGCCCAGTTGGATCTGTCATGGTGCTGGTGGGTTTGATTTCATCATTATAATAAGACTGTAATGCACTTAAGATCATCTGGAGGGTCAACACAGTGTTGGAACTGGGCAGA